AAGCTGATTGTTAGATTTGTGAATGCATGCGTGCTACCCCACTGGTTGTATTGCTCTCCAGTAATTTTTCCCGGTATCTTGAAAAAAGACTTTTATTTACTGGCGAGATCTCTAAAACACATCTCTAAGTGTAGTGGCATTGTCAAGGATAAACTGGCCGATTCCATCATTGTCAGACACCTACAAGCATGTGAAAATTTCGCCGCCAAAATACTCTCAGACACTCACCACCCATTACACAATGAATTTTCAAAAGCTATATCTACATCATCCACACGCTCCAGATTTAAACTTTTATTTGCACGTACCTGTGCTTATCGCAATTCTGTTCTGCCATATCTAGCACGTCTACTTATAGACAAGGACACAATTTCCACAGAATTGCACAATTGCTTGCTTTATTGAGAAACACAATATCCACTGCTTTCATTGTGTTCACTATGTACGATTTTATAAATTTGAATCCACAAATATGGCGTAATTGCTGAAAATACACCCATCCGGGTGCATAAAGCTACTACTGACTTGACTTGACTTCTTGTTGCGTCAGAGAACGGTGATCAAGAAGCAAAACTCATCAGCCTTTTAAACGCAAACAATAGTTAAAATGCAAGTGCCCTGTCTGCAAAACCCATCGGGGTACACTAATTTACGAACATGGACTTACGGCATGGCCAAACGCTCCTTCTTTCGAGCCTCTGGCATGAAAAACGCATAAAGCATTGATACATCTTGCGACAGCATAGTAACTTCCAAGTTAAGTTTAGTCTTAAAGTAGTCCAAGAAATCCTGTAGGGTCATTGGCGCGGACAGCTCGAAGCGATCCCATAAAGAGAATTCCGTATCAAAATATTTTGATTTAGCCGGTGGGACAGGTTCGAAGAAGGCAAACCAAGGGGTGGCAAGATCCACATAAGAATTTTTGTACAGCGAGAGTGATTTGTGTCCCTGTACGAGCTGTAACAAAAGAGCAAATGACGTGCATATGGATTACATCGAAACCAAGGTGGTGCGTGACTGGATTGAACCCAGGTACCTGGTACAATTATGTAAGCCAAATAATGAAAGGGTGATGATAAATGCTTTTTCATTATCTAATAGCTGTGTGCATTGTTCAAGCCAAGAAAAGATACACTAACGAGAAAACAAGTCTTCAATGAAGCTTTGTCGGTGTCGCTCGCATTCGGCATTGGGACGGTGTTCAAATGATCACATATAATGGCTTGCGCTCATGCCATAAACAATCACAATTCAAATGCAACCAACGTTCGTCTGTAACTTGATATATATAAAGCATGTAGGACCGACACTCGAGTTGAGCAAGCTTCACAAGAATCAACTGTTACCGTATACGGTAGAACGCATTCATGTTCATGTATACTTCTACTAAGCTTAAACTGAGACTATCAATTTTGAGCAAAATACCGTCAAATCGTGCATCAACACTACAAACTACTGCACAAATACACACGCGTAAGCCTTACAGTAACGCAAAATATCATGATTGGGTTTGAAAAGCAATAAGTATGTCTGACAAAAAAACTATTCTACATGCTTACCTTGTACAATTCCAAACAGACAAGTCCGGCGACAAGGCTCGTTGTAGTAGCGATCGCTGGAATAATCTTCCCAGCAATGAGTTTGCTTTTAAGGCGGTCAGCTGGCTGAATATCGTAGCAAGTCGCACGCAAATTACTGGCAGCAGTGATGAAATCCATGTGAAAATTGTTGTCATCATCCTTTTCAAACTCGACCACGTTTATCTTGGCCTGTGACGCATCTGCAGGAAAATTGACAAACAGATTAGAGTTAAATGAAAGTAGAATCCGTTTGGATGAGACAGCATGCACTGAATTTGCGGTAACTGGATGAGTATGACAAGTCGTTAGTCGTATAAACAGATTCACTGAATTGACTTGCACGCTGGAGGCTTAATAGATGGCTTGTGAGACCATTGTTTCTACTTAGATTGGTTCCAAAAGCAACCCCGATATTTCACTAACTCCATTGGATAACTTGATCAAATTTGATATAATAGATGAAAACACCACTGCTATATGCTTTATAATATTTGCGAACAAACCAGCACTGACCAATATTAGACAGAGCCGAACGAATCTCCGTCACACGTGAGGCGTCCGCGATTGGAACTGAAGATCTTGCTTGAGCTTCAGCCTCAGTAACCTCGATGCGAACGCCAGTGCGAGGTTTGAATTCAGGAACGTGCACTGCTTCTATCATAGGGATAATTTTTGGGATGTTGCGACACTGATCAATGCCGAACATGAATGCACGTAAGTTTGCAGCAGCCAGTACGAAATCCAAATGCATTGGCTGAAAAGGGGAAACAGAATTCATTTTAATTACCAATACCGATATAAATGATACAGCTGGCCACATTGGATTGCATGGTAGCTCGGTTTAAGTAATTTAACAATAACTTTTACCTACATTTTGGTAGTAACGACGAACATTGTTCACCTCTACTCCTGCCGGAACATTCGACCACTGAATCAGAAGAGTCGTATAATCCCACGAACTATTCCAAACTTTCCAAGCACAGTTACGACTTTGGATTTATGATTGAGAGTAGACAAGCTGAACCCCGTAGATAGGAGAATCTAATAGTGAACCAATAAACTATGACCCGGAGTGATGAAACAGATTAAGAACCAGTATAATGAACGTGGTATCAGGTCGGGTTAAAAAAGATAACTCATCAGGATCACGGAATCCAGGGTGATGATCGCTAGTCTGTATCTGGCCACAGACAATGGCTATATGTGTATGGACTGCCATGGAAGTACATAGCACCAAAACTTTCAGTTTGAACAACCATTAATCACGCAAAAACTTTACCGGTCGTTGAACTACTGTAATCGAAGATGCATACAACAGAACCCTTTTCATCCGTGTATTGGTAAATGCCAGCCAACTATTCTAGAAATGCATCCATTGACACAAATAAATTTGGAAACCTATGAAATATAATGATTTGTCGGCAACAAACGAGATAATTGTGTTTGAAATACTCACATTTCGCATATCGAACTGCAATGGATGAGGACACCGTTTGGTGCCGGACCAAAAATCTGCACCTGAGGCAGTGCGATGATCCGGCGGAAAGTTGAAAAGCAGTTGGGCAATTGTATTGGAGTATAAATCCTAAGAAATAACGGTGATAAAAAGAGTTAGATCACTGAAGCATGCAATGTTTTAGGCAGGTGAACTAGCACAGCGGAAAATAAACTATGCAAAATACGCCTTCAAAAGCCTCGGTAGGGTCGGGGGTGGCTGTCTAGGGTTGCGGCTGGCCACCCTCCTCTTGAATCTTACGAAATGCTTCCATACGACCAAGTGTCTAAAGTAGCCTCTACTGAGGAAGCCTTACTCACTGCCTTCCCGTGGCGATGTTTTCTCACCAAAGTGGTATGACGAAAAGTCGACATCCGGGGATATAACCGGGTTGGTGGACCACTGGTAGTTCACCTAGGTGAAGCGGCCGAAACCCTGATTCCAAACCAACCAAGAGACGTGCGAACCACACACCCTCCCAGTTGTGGCAGTGGTTACCGGCTTAATTTGGCATCGAGATGTATTGGGCACCTTAGACGTTGGAACCCGTCTGAAGGGCGTCTGATCTGATGAACCGGACACCGGCGCCCAATGGATTGCTATTTTCACACACCGCCCAGCTGCCTTGCGGGTCAGGCTTTGGCTGGCCAAAGGCTCCGGTTGTGGATTCCCCAAGAAAATTCACCTGCATTGGCCTGGGCAACCTGGTAGTATTCCGCTCACATGCAAATCATGGAACGTTTCTCTTTTTTATAAGGATTATTGTACCACGATTTGTTCGGTACAGTCTGAGTTCAGACGCATATATATATATATATATATATATATATATATGCAAAATACAGACTCCATTTGAACTAGGGTTGACCAAATTGGGCCCTAAAATGCTTTGGATAAGTTCGAGAGCAGAAGCAGACGATTTCAAGTCCGTTAGCGGTATCTTCTCGTTCAACGTGCAAATACCGGTGGGAGCCCGTTTTTATGTTTATAACACCTTTGTGCGATGAATAGCAGAAGGGGTAAACCCTGCACACAGGAGGATCCATGGTTCATGATAACTGGCAACCTAAGCCCTAAATCTCAGAATAAAGGAATGCATATGGCTATATTACGTTAACTCGGTGACACCGAATAAGTCTATCTAAAAAAATCGGTCAACATATCCTAAACTGCATAATTCTTATTTTACAAACCAATCGACTTAATACATAACTTAGGCCCAAGCAGCTAACACAGCGATAAAAAACTAATGGATGAGCATAACCAATAATTTACTTCAAAACATGCATTAATTTGGAAACCTTTTCTTATAGCTCTTTGAATGTTGTCTCTTAGCAAACGCACAAAAACGATCTCGAAATACAAACATACAGCTCAAAAGGTTAACAGTCGTGAATCAATGCCATCTGGTCGCTGACTATTACTGATAATTTCTTGTGAGCTCTTGGATCAAGATTAAGAAAATGGAGTTGAATGCGTGTGATTAGGTGCAGTTATTACTCACTAATCACTGTTGACATATAACCGTAACAACCCAAGCCGAAACTTTGAAGAAACCAGTACATTATACTTGCGTGCTATGCAGTACTACACTTACCTGCCACAATAGACGCGCCCAAGCGATGCAATCTTCAAAGGAAGAGGGCTTCTTATCAATGAGGTTTGCCCGTAGATTTTCAAGAGTTTCGATAGGTTGGCTGCCGGGTCCGGCTAGAGTGCGCTCCATGAATTTTTCGGGTTCCTGGAATCGAAATGAAATAATCAGTGGACCGACCCCATTTTAAAATACGGCAATGAGATACCTGAATGACACGAGGGAGCAAAACATGACCAACTGCCTTCATCATAGTTGGCTACAGTCGTGCAGATTGAGATCGACCCACAAGAAAAGCATGTGCAAAAGCTTTAAAAAGGATTGACTTTAGCGGTATCACTGTATTACGCATGAATTATTGACTATAGACCACATGAAACAATTAATTCGTGTCCGTCCATCACTCACATAATTGATGGGTCGAGCAACAAATGTTAACAGCTGTGCCATGACTCGCCACGGCAAAAACATTCGCATCTATATAAGTTGGCATTTTCCACCGAGCAGTTTGCAATGACACTTTCCCATCAAAATGTAAGGTCTTCTTATAATAGCTGCCTGCTACCGAAGTTGGGTGGCGAATGCTATCCAAATGATCAAAACAAGGGTGGATTGTGGTGCATAATCAAGGGAGAATCTGCGGATCTCATCGACCTAGGCTACCTTGCTAGATGCATACAAAGCATTCCTTTAGATGTCAAACAAGACATTTCGCGCCAATTCTTCAAACGCCAGTTTGAGGATTGATCGCGACAAGCAGTGAGAGATAAGGAAGACTGCAGCTATTGGTAACGGCTGTACAGTTTTGTTTAATTACGAATACGGACTCCAGTGCCCTCACAGAAATCCACCCGGGGATTGAAGTGGCAAACCAAGTAGGACCCCACTAGGTAAGCGTGGTATATGAAAGCTGCCTCTGAAGCACTTCTTCGTCCGAGGGGATGAGGTTTTCACAAGCATCCTACGCCGCAAAACATTTGATGATCGAATCAAGTTACATTACTGCATGCGAAAGCCTTAGTATGACCGGGGATGTCTTAGCTTGTCTCTGGTCAGCCTCTCCCCGTACTTTGCCAAGTGCTCTCATTCATCGATTAAGGAAGCCCTACTTACAACTTCATAGCGTTGTTTTCCCCACTCAAACGAGGGAACAAGAAACCAACATATGCGATCATAACCGGATCGGTGAACCACCGGCAATTCACCCAAGAGTGATGACTTGAAAACTATATCCCAACCGAATCAAGAAGTGCATCAAGCACGCCTTATGACTTCCTAGTTGTGTTAACAGTTACTAGCCTGATTCGGCGTATGGTCTGAATAAATGAACATCGGCACTGATGAATTGCGGTCTTCATCCAACGAGTTGCGCATCAGGCTTAGACTGTCCGAACGTTCATCCACTTTGACCTGGACAACCCAAAAGCATTCTGTTCATAAGCAAATCATTGTTTAATTATTTTGTTAGTGAGATTTTGCGCAGGCTGGACCCAGACAAGTATGAAAAAATATAATAAATTATCATATTATCAATCAGTATACAAACTGGGTTCAGCAATAATTTTCTACTTGCAATTTACTGTATGGTATTTTTCCCTATGTGATGATAATAAGTCAGTTATGACAGGTTTATTAGACCACACACTAAACGCTTGAATAGCGTTTTAGCCTGCAAGTTAAAGCAAGGGCATGACAAACTGAAACACAGGAACTTCAAGTGACTACTAAGCTTTTGCGCTCCCAGTGGCTGTTCGTAGTACTCTAATGAACATGATTACATTCATACCGTTTTCTACGCATTGACCATTAGGATTCATTTCCTGGTTGAACAGATCAACAACTGAAGACCCCAGATTCTGAGCAACGAATCGCATTAGACTAACGGAATTAGCATGGCATCAACCTGACAAGAGCGGACTGATCATCTCAAATGGACTTACTCGTAAATAGGAAGCAACACTTTGGGATTGGTGCACAAAGAGACCCTCAAACAAATCACGGGCCCACTGAAGGGTGTGTTCAATAAGATACGGGAAATTCTTTAAGGTACATGCCGGGAACGATTTTTCTGGGGGATCCTGAAGTGAAAAATGCGAACAGAACATATCAAGACAGAACTTTGGGAATTAGCATTAGATCCTTAGTGAGGGAAAGGAACAGATGATTAAACGGGGCTTCCTAACAATATGCTTCGTCAAAATCAAGAGAGCGTTGAGATAATATAAACTCGGTGACATGAAAAAACAGCTCAGAAAAACTCGTTTTTCATCGTCGCCTCTTGGAATCCTAAAGCCGCGACAACCTTACTCGAGGCTGGTTGAATCAGGTCACGTGCATGAGGCCTCTGGAACTCGGTGTGGCCGTGTTTGAGGCATCTCCCAACCCCAAAATAGCAGTATTTCGCAGTTGGTGGTTTATTTACAGTACGAATATACATCCGTCAGCTATAAAGCCCATGAGTAAAGACATAAAAACCATCTAAAAGATCTGTTCATCGACTATTTCACTACCAGTAATCTATTTTGTGGTGAACGACAGCCAGTTCACTACGTGTCTCAAATTGGCAAATGCCAATCGGGTCTTTTGTATGCGTGCGAACACTTCATTTGTGACGCGTCCGCCAGGTGAGAGATAGCTGCACAAATAGAGAAATGTGTCTGAAGGGTGGGTCAAACCAATCTTGGAGCAGCATTTTACACTTTGAAGTTGCGAAGTGCATACAATAGTACGCAAACTATTCAGGAGGGCTTGCAACTTACCTGGATCCTCATTTAGCAGCACACTCCAGATTAGTCTACCACCTGGGAGCGGTGAACCACATAAGACCCCGCTAAATTATGTATGGTAATGGATCGAGAGACAGCAAAACCTACCACCAAAGCCGGGTGGCGGGAATCGAACTTCAGACCTTAGGACTCAAAGCATGCCGATGACAGTAACCGAACTATTGTGCCACCACTACACTACGTAATTTCATGGTAACGAGGACCCCCTTGAACAAAATGGAGAAGGCAACCTGAGATGGGACCTGGAGTGGTAAATCACATGAGGTTCCACTCGCACCAATTAGTCACTAATCCGAAACATAGCATCAACTCTTGAATTTCATACATCTTGAGCCACCATGTAAAGGATGCAAAACTGAATGGGAATTTCCAAGCACCAAGTAAATACAAGCATAAATCCATCTTTAGGTCAATACAATGAAACTCACTTGTGATGATGAGTAGGACTCGGTAAGGTAAGGGATAACAACTTGTACGTTGGCCTTAGTACCCAAAGTGCCTGACTCCAGGAGTGGTTTACGATAGTAGACACACCGTCTATCAACATAAGTACGCGCCTCAATGTTGTCCAAGGCATTCGCAACACCGTCCAATGCTTCGAAAAACTCATCGTCGTATACATTTTCTGTTTCGGGTCCTACACGGTTTNNNATGAGCATCAATGTTCATCTAAAAATTATCAAGGGAAATCAGTTTACACTTAAGCAAGATCAGCGGAATTTATCATGCATCGAACTTAGGGAAACGATTCAGGCGAGGTAAAAGAAGAATGTAGTTTATAATATTGCTCCCGTCAGAATTCGAGCAAATGAGTCCATCATCGGATGTACTCGAAACTGATACTTGATCTACAACCGTAGCGCTTGGCGGCGGATTTTCAAAACTGGCAACAACACTGATCGGAGGGTAAATCTATATTGTAATAACTAAGCTTATTCTTCTGCAAATGCATGAAAAATCACAGTACTATAGAAGTGATGTCAACTTCACTGATTGCTAGCAAAACGACAAACGGTACAAAGTTAGTGTACGTTGGATAGAGAGTGAGCCTATTTGGGGGGGGGGGGAGNCTGATCAACGAAGAGAACAATTGATGGCGATTTGATGCCATACCTTTTTCGAACCGGCCTGAGGACAAGCATGGTGCCAACGCAGTGACACGAATAGTAGGATTGGGTACAGGTTAATGAAAATAGGAAATACCTAAGGAAGAATAGACGAACATTTTTGTTGTAAGCTTCACCGTACATTTTCCCGTTTATGGCTTGCTATGGAGAACGGCGTTTCAACAAACCAACCGTACAATATATCCTGAGCCAGCTTCAAGCGTCTCGAAACAACCTTCATCCCTTGGGCCCCAGACTGGAGAGCGAACTGCACCAACCGAAGCCGATGCTAAGGATAACCTTCTCATACCTCCACATCATGGCGTGCGGTAAACAAGCAAAACATTTATCCCCAAAGTAGATCGTTTTTCATCTCCCTTTTGTTCCTATATTTTGCGTTCAACCCATGTTTATTTTGACATCGCATGTAACAGTATGGTAAGATAGTTGAATAACTTACCTCCGGATTCATGCGCTTTACTGCTTCTGCGGCAACAACGGCCTTCATTTTTGTTATATCCCAAGGCCTAAAAAGGAACTGACGATTCAAATTAGATCGCTCTATGGAATCCATATCAGTGACAGTGAGCTTCCCAGCTGGACTGGCACCTACGCCCATGAGAGCGAAGTTTTTCATAAGCTCACACCCAATTGCTCCAGCGCCAACCATGAAATAGTTCAGCTTCAATAACTTTTCCTGGAAGTTCTGTCCGAAAATGGCTATTTGACCGTCGTATCGCGTTCCTCGTGGAGCAGCATCCCCCTCGGCCACTACCTCGGCATCCTTGTCTTTAATGGATTGATCGGCATGAGGAATCGGGAGACACTCCGTAGCATCAAAGTAACACCATTGCTGAAGGGGCACAAACTTTCCGGTGCATGCTTTCATGGCTTCTTGTGCAGCAAAACCACCGATAACAGCCTTTAGAGTATTCGACACAAAACAAGAATACTCACCTGGACGGGACAACATTGGCCACTGCATGTATAGGCGAATAATGAAGCCAACTGCTCATCTATTTCCTCCACGTGGGCACTAGTGTTGGCCGCTTCCTCATTCACCTTGCGCGCTAAGCACAAGAACTCACGGGAATCATTCTGATTCCACGACCCAGGAAGTGACCCCTTATGTTGTTTGGTATACTCCCCCAACGTGGTGAAAAACAGATGGAGCTGAGGAGCACGTTCCATCTTAACAATGTCAGATATCAAATGTTGTGGTTTGGCGAAAGATTCGCGATATGAAAGCTAAAAATATTCAGATGAAAAACAGGCACTTACGAAGTTCATTTTTTCAGGCATTTTAACCTTAGTACAGATACCCCCCGAAGTGTAATCGGAAAACGATGACGTGTCGCCAATACAAAATGCGTCAGGACCTAGATCCCTAAAAAGGATAAAAATGAGACTTACCAGCCACCGTCACCTTGCGAGGCTCACAACCATTCAGTTCGGTCATCCCCTTTACTTCAGAAAATGTGACATAATCACCATCAACAAAATTGTGGCGAGTTTCCTCCAAGCACGTCACCAAGCCTTGTTGAGACTAAAAAAATCCACTCGAAGGATGAGATAACCTGGTTACCTTCTCAATTTGCTGAACCATTACAGACGGAGGGTCTTCTCCAGTGGGATCAATCACAGTGAACTCTTCGCCAAAATCGCAGAACACTCTACCGAACACTCCACATGTGTTAGCTACGATTAGTCTGATTCCCAATTTGTGACAGATATCGCCCACTTCAAGGCACATCTCGTGGGGACATTGGGTAAGAATCACCAATGAGAACTTCCTGAAGTCCTCCAAACCCAATTTTGGTTTCACTAGAATGTGCACAGCAACATGAGTGTTTAATTCAGCCAGTTTGTGGCGTGATACTTCAGCCCGTCCGTGACCAATATCATCCGCGCCCGCAAAAAAGTGAGATGACAAATCAGTCCAGGTTATTGGACTTTGATCGTACAAAGTGACTGATCGAACACCGGCGAGTATGATATTTTTGGCGATTTCCACTCCTAAACCACTGAGACCACAGATCAATACGTCTGACGTTGCCATACGGCGCATTCCCTCCGTGCCCAAAACGTATCTGAAATTTCATCATCATTGATGATTCTGACTTACATTTGGCGGCTGTACAAACCCTCATCGATTTCATTCACCTCTCCGTTTGTCCCCATACCCTGTAAAATAGGATGAAAATCGGACTTGAGCACTTTTATCTAACGGGAAAACGCCTCAACACGTGAAAAAGAAGCTTACGTTAGTGTGATTAAGCTTTTCTGATGAATTCAAATGACTATTCTGATTGGAATCTACCAAACAAGATGTTCGCGGTCTCTTGAATGGAGGAGGTGAAGACATCTAAGCACCGAAAGGTTCATCCAAGCCGCGCGACACCACCGCCGAATCTGCGCCGAACTGAACGCTGATTTAAAAGTAAAACGCTGTGACTTAACCAAACACACGCTATTGCGAACCTGTATATAATGAAATGACATAAAGCTACCTTAATTACAAGTCACTTTTATTTCCTAATATTAGGAAGCTTCAGAGGAATGTGCAGCTAAACTGCGGTACATGAATGTCTGCAACACAAAGTCACGTGATATTGTGTGTGAAAATCTGCCGCTGTACCTGTTTTTGCGTAGGTGACAATGTGCTGCGCTATCGCTCCATGGTCTATTATATATCTTGTGTGCCAAATATGGAGTCAATGAACTCTAGTTTGATCTGAACAATGAAAAATTGAATACAAATATTTCGTACAAAACTTTGAATGCGTTTTTAGACTACCGTGTTTCTAGTGAAAACGCCTATGTGGCTCAGTCATATGGGACATTTTTCTTCTCTCAGCGTTATCTTTTTCAGTTCGAGTGAGGTTTTTCCACCATGTGCTAAATTGGATTATTCGGCTGTGGTTTTGTTCATTCAACTGGATATATTCAATCAGAAGTGTCTCAAAAAAGCGAGGCTACCATGAAAACGTGTGTATCCTGCTCCAGGATTGTTGGCCCCAGGGCCAAAATCATTGGTGCAAGAAACTGGACTGCTTCTGGCTTCGCCGCAAGTCCTGTGACCTGTCCTATCCTGTCCTGTGCTGTCCAGTCCGTTGTGCTGGGTGTGATGGGTGGATACACACGGAATGTTCCAAAATCGATGCAGATAAATATGAATGGCTAAATAAATGTCTCTCTCCATCCCTGAAGATTGTGTGCTGCAGCTGCTCGATCATTACTTCCAAGGAAGGCAAATCTTCATTTCCGAAAATCTCTCGGTAAAAAAAAAGAAAAACTCCCTGTAGTGACTCTGCTTGGTCACTCGTGTTTTACGTCGCGTTCTTGTCTTACTGAACGCTGACGCCCGTTGCTTCCACACACTTCCACCTTAGTCATTCAACGCACCATGCGACGCCAATGTATTTTAAGTTCAAATATAGTGCTTTGGTCTAGGTCTCGCAGTCTGCCTTCTATTTCATTTACGTTGGCCGTTGAGATCGCCTGTTCGTACTGGTCAATCGTTGCGACTCCTGGAGACTATCCAGGTTCCGTAAAATCATCGAGACAACCAACCAGAGTCACAAGTGGACGGGGCTAGTGTTTCCTTACAGCCCCCAGTACGCCGGCCACTGGGGTAAAAGTGGCCCCTCCGTATGCAGATGTCACTTCCACTCCATTTACAAAAGCAGCATGTAACATGTCACAGACACCCGAGATGTGCCTCCGCGATTCGTAGGAACCTATGCAGCAGAGGAGACTACCTCCGAGATCGCGGTACATCATTGTTGTCAATCTTCTGGAGGCTGTGGCCACCACCCTTCAGGCTCGATTGGACCACGACCTGCNTGCTACGATCGCAAATGGTTTCCAACAATCAGAGTAAAATTGGCTATCCGGTTTGGAAAACCTCGCCAGGATAGTTTTCCACGGCCACTGAAAGTAGTTTCTCGGGTAGAAGGCGCGCCAAATCGATACTCCAGTAGACCCACAAGTAGTAGACCCACTCAAGGAGTGCCCTGCAAAACGGGGAAACTGATCTGTGTATGCGGGATTTTCGTGTACATCGGAAGCGCCCTCAGTTACGTTGGCTACCCTTGGTCGATAGAAGGATCCAGTAGACAGTTTCCCTGTCCGCATAGCGGGACGGCTGACCGTCCTATTTGAGTCCCATTCGAGTCCCGTCGAGACTCCTCCATTAATCATCGTCCCATTGGAGTCCTATTTAAGTCCGGTTGGGGCTGTACATTCTTACTTTTATTTAATACTAAATTAAACCAAATAAAGTCCCACTAAAAACCCTTAAAAATGTGAATATTACTACCGGTTTATTTATCTCGCAGTTTGTTTAAGTGAACTAATTTCACATGAGTATGTACAGCGGCCTTCACCATTATTCGTCATGTCAGATTTCAATCATCGTGGTTATTATAGGTGGTCATTACGAAGACAGGTTACAGTAAATTTTACAACAAGGTTTTCATTACGCATTGACTAAGATACTGCGGAGTTCGGAAATAGATCACCCGTAAATCATTTCGGTCAGTTTTATGGACAAAAATTATCATTTCGTGCGTCATTTATGATAGTAAACCAATTAGTTTCCCACAAAGAAGTTTCAATGTCTATAAACGCTTGTAACTGTGAAGTGCAATTTCCGAAAGAATCCGATTATTTTAAGTTGAAGTTTTATTAGATATAAATTATTTTTAACGCTGTCATACGTGCGGCTGAAATGCATGTAAGTGATCTGCAATGTCGTCGGTAAGCGTGCTGTTTTGTCCAACGGTGTATCAATATGTAGGTTGCGCCACGAAAAAGAACTTTCATGGCGAACCTTTCTAGCCAGACTACCGTCTTGGTGAATCGCCTCCAGTCTGAATAGTGATAGAAGAGCGGTTTGAACGCATGGGTGGCAATAGTCGCGTTTATGTTTGCAAACCCTTTTATTTTGATGCCCTCTGGGATAGCGTCCCACGGTAGCTCTTCCGGGGAAGTGATCAGTCGGTCTTGTAGGAACGTAGGTCCCTTCAACCACTCTTCTAGGTCTTTCTCGTTGTATATACTTCTCGAGGTCCAGTCTGCGGGGTTCTCCTCCAACTTTACATGAGCCCACTGACTAGGAGAAGAAAATTGATGGATTAATCCGATTCGGTTGGCCACGAACGTACAGAATCGAGTATTCATATTCTTCATGTAGTAGAGTACAATCAAAGAGTCTGTCCAGAAACGAACCTCACCGAAAAAATTTGACAGACTCCTTCTCAGCATACCACAGATGCGCGCACCCAACGCAGCCGCTGCTAGCTCCATTCGAGGTATTGTCACGGGTTTAATGGGTGCCACCCTCGATTTACTGTAGAGCAATACGCAATAGGGGGGGCCTCCACTTGGGGTTCGCCGGACATAAGTAACTGCACCATAGCCGGATTCCCAAGCGTCGCAAGATATGTGCAGTTCGGTTTTCCCTGTTTGCTGCGGATCCTCTTTGCGTACAGCCCTTCGAATGCTGAATTTTTAATGTAGACACGTGAACTCTATCCACTCATCCCACAAGTGAGAACACTGGGATGTCAGCGGCTGATCCCAACATAACTAGGCTTTACACAGGAGTTGCAACATTTCTTTGGCAGGTAGG